TCCATTCCCAGTGTTTTTCCCGACCCATTCCCGGTGTTCCCTGATCCATTCCCAGTGTTCCCTGATCCATTCCCGGTGTTTCCTGATCCATTCCCGGTGTTCCCTGGCTCATTCCCGGTGTTTCCTGATCCATTCCCGGTGTTTCTCGTTCCATTCCCAGTTTTTCCCAGCCCATTCCCGGTTTTCTCAGTTCATTCTCGGCTTTCCGGTGCCATTCCTGGTGTTTTTCCCAACCCATTCCCGGTGTTTTTCCCAACCCATTCCCGGTGTTTTTCCCAATCCATTCCTGGTTTTCCCGATCCATTCCCGGTTTTCCCGATCCATTCCCGGTGTTTCCCTGACCCATTCCCAGTGTTTTTCCCGACCCATTCCTGGTTTTCCCGATCCATTCCCAGTGTTTTTCCCGATCCATTCCCGGTTTTTCCCGATCCATTCCCGGTGTTTTTCCCGGCCCATTCCCGGTGTTTTTCCCGGCCCGTTCCCGGTGTTTTTCCCGGTACCTTGGCCCAGTGGGGTCTCCCTCCGTGTTTCCTCATGATTCCCTCGTAGAGGTTCCAGTACCGGAATCTCGGGATGTCCTTTCCGTAGGGCCTGGAACGCGCCGGATCCCGGCCGGAGTCAGCCCCGGAATCCCGGGAATCCCCCACCCCAAACCTCCCCTTCCCAGGGACTCGGGATCCCGGGAATTCTGGGAATGGGGGCCCTGAATCCGGATCCCTCCCCTTCCCGGGGATTTGGGATCCCGGGAATTCTGCTGGGAATGGGGTCTCTGATCCGGATTTGGGATCCCGGGATCGGGAACGGGGTCCTGATCCGGTTCCCTGCTTTTCCCGGGGATTTGGGATCTCGGGAATTCTGCTGGGAATGGGGGATCCCGATCCGGATTTGGGATCCCGGGATCCAGAGGGATCTCCATGCCCAGATTCCCAGTGGGAATGGTGTCTCCTCTTCCCAGGGATTCGGGATCTCGGGATCGGGAATGGGATCCCTTTTCTCCCAGGGATTTGGGATCTCGGGAATTCTGCCGGGAATGGGGTCCCCAGTCTGGATCCCTGCTCTTCCCAGGGATTTGGGATCCTGGGACTGGGACGATCCCACTCGGAATGGGGTCCTTGATTCAGATTTGGGATCCCGGGATCGGGAATGGGGCTCCTGATCCGGATCCCTCCCCTTCCCGGGGATTTGGGATCTCGGGATTGGGATCTGAAGGGATCCCTGTGCTCAGATTCCCAGTGGGAATGGCGTCTCCTCTTCCCAGGGATTTGGGATTCCCAGATCTGGAATGGGGCCCCTGACCTGGATCCCTCTTTTTTCCCGGGTATTTGGGATCCTGGGACTGGGATGATCCCACTGGGAATGGGTCCCGGATCTGGATTTGGGATCCCGGGATCGGGAATGGGGCTCCTGATCCGGATCCCTCCCCTTCCCGGGGATTTGGGATCCTGGGACTGGGATGATCCCACTGGGAATGGGTCCCGGATCTGGATTTGGGATCCCGGGATCGGGAATGGGATCCCTTTTCTCCCAGGGATTTCGGATCCTGGAATTCCCACTGGGAATGGTGTCTCCTCTTCCCAGGGATTTCCCCCTCATCCAGGGAATTCAGGGATTGAGAAGATCCCAGAAAAAACCCCGGGATGCGTTTTCCTCCCGGAATTCCGGGATGGAGACAATCCCAGAAAAAACCCCGGGATGAGTTTTTCCTCCTGGAATTCCACACCCCCACCATTCCCAACCTTTTCTTCCCCCAGATCATCCCAAATAATCCCAAATTATCCCCAAATTATCCAAAATTACCTCAAATTGTCCCAGATAATCCCAGATTATCCCAGATTACCCCAAATAATCCCAAATTATCCCAGATTATCCCATTTTTCCCCAGATTATCCCAGATTATCCCAAATAATCCCAAAATTATCCCCAATTATCCCGAATTTTCCCACCCCCATCATCCTCAGGATCCCCCACACCGAAACATCCTGGAAAAAAAACCCCGGGAGAAATTCCCGGGATGCCGCAGATCCGGGCCGGGAAAAGGGGGTTGGGAATTCCCTGGGAAAAAGGGTTGGGAATTCTTGGGAATTCTCTGGGAAAAGGGGATTGGGAATTCCCTGGGAAAAGGGTGGGAATTCCCGGGAAAAGGGGCTTGGGAATTCCCTGGGAAAAGGGTTGGGAATTCTCTGGGAAAAGGGGATTGGGAATTCTCTGGGAAAAGGGGATTGGGAATTCCCGGGAAAAGGGGATTGGGAATTCCCGGGAAAAGGGGATTGGGAATTCCCTGGGAAAAGGTTGGGAATTTTCTGGGAAAAGGGGATTGGGAATTCCCGGGAAAAGGGTTGGGAATTCTCTGGGAAAAGGGGATTGGGAATTCCCTGGGAAAAGGGTTGGGAATTCCCTGGGAAAAGGGTTGGGAATTCCCTGGGAAAAGGGGATTGGGAATTCCTGGGAAAAGGGTTGGGAATTCCCTGGGAAAAGGGTTGGGAATTCCTGGGAAAAAGGGGATTGGGAATTCCCAGGAAAAGGGTTGGGAATTCCCAGGAAAAGGGTTGGAATTCCCTGGGAAAAGGGGATTGGGAATTCCCGGGAAAAAGGGTTGCAATTCCCTGGGAAAATTGTGGGAATTCCTGGGAAAAGGGTTGGAATTCCCGGGAAAAGGGGATTGGGAATTCCCTGGGAAAAGCGGATTGGGAAAAGGGAA